CCACCCAGGGACTGTGGCGCTGAGCACTGTGGTGGTCAGACTGACTTTCTAGAAAGACCCCGCCTGTGGCTGACTGTGTGGCACCAGATGGGAAGGGAGAGATGGAAGGTGGGGCAGGGAGTCAGGTGGCTGCTGGCTGAGCAGGAGGGGCAGGGCAGGGATGAGTGGCCTCATTCTACAGAAGGGGAAACTGAGGCTGGGGGGAAAATGGGATCAGATGCCAGCTTATAAAGTGGCAAAGGTCTGACCAAATCAGGCCTCTGGGTGGGGCTGGTGTGTCCTCATCTGGTCAACGATGTTCCAGAAGCTGCCCCACCATGAGCAGTTGGTCCTGGGGGACACTTTCAGGAAGCACAGAGGGCTGAAGTCATGAGGTCTTCTCAGGGGCTCCCAAACTCCTCCAGCCACTCAATGACTGCCCCCCAGAAAGGGTGCGGATGTGTCTGTATTTCCCCAAACGTGGCCCTGGGTGCACGGGGTCACAAGAGAAGGCACTTGACAAATGGAATCCCAGAAGGGGTGAGGTGCCCATCACCGGAGGTGTGTAAGTGGAGGCCATGGCTCTTTGGCCTCCAAAGGTGGAAGGAGGGGTCCCCAAAGCATCAGGAGGTCCCTCGCTGGGTGCCGGCACAGGGCTGCGGTCTGAGAATCACCAGCCCGGAGACCTCACGTGGAGGCGTGGTTCCCCTGCCCCCCACGGGGCATTTCAGCCTGCAGGTTCCTGCCGTGGCCGCACTTCCCCACCAGGGACCACCGAGAGGACGACCAGACTGGGAGGTACCGAGACAGGCTGGAGACTCAACAGGAAATGGGAGCGGGGGTTTCAGAAAAGGAGGCAGCAGATTATTAATCTCTTGATTAATAGCAGCGGGCCAGTGGGAGGGAAGGGGCTGTCCCACTGCCGTGCAGAGGCAGGAGGAGGGGGTTTGAAGCCTCTGGCCTCCTCCAGATCCCAGCTAGTCATTCCTAAGTGCCAGATGCAAGGGACAGCGGGCCCAGCCGGCAGTGTCTTCCGCCCAGCCTCCCCCACCAGAGCCCAGGACAGCAGGGCACTGGGGAGTCCTGGCGGGGGACGGGGATGCAGCCCAGACAAGCCCCCACGCTGCGGGGATCACCCACGCAGGCCGGCTGCGGAGGAGGGGCAGGAAAGAAAGGCCATGTTTGAAGAAAGTACTAAGTCCAGGCAACCCAATCAAAGGGGGGGTAGGCAGGCCGGCAGGGGGCCGTCTGGCGGAGGGGAATGAAGGAGGCAGATGAAGCCCCGGAGAGTTCCGGCAAACCCCTCCGCTCAGCACATCTGGAAAAGGTTGGCTCTAATGCCATCAAAAGAGCTCTGAGAGGGGCCGGGGAGACAGCCAGGGCAGGGAAGCCAGGCCGAGGAAAACTTAACCCCCAAGTCCCTGGGGCTTGGTCCTCCCAATCTGTCAGGCAGGCCCTGCGCCTGGCCCACCCCCCTTCCCGCAGCGGCCCCCCTGGGGTTGGGGGGGGGGGTTGCTCAGGGGGGACAGGAGGGCAGCATCAACAACACCGGACTTCCTGCTGCCTTGATGGAGGCAGAGCCAGGGGTGTGATTTCCCACCCCAAAGCAAGACAGAGGGTTATATCCTCATTCCCCAGAAAGGGAAACTGAGGCACGGAGAGGGGAGGCTCAGCTTGTCCTCTCTGCCTTCCTCTGGGTGTGGAGCTGGTCCTCAGGCCTCTCTCGGGGAAGTCTCGGCATCCAAGCCCTCACTGTGGCCCTGCCCTCCCACACTGTTGCCTCTCCCATCCCCCCTCCCCGCCACACGGCACCCCTCCCCTAGGGAAACCCCCTCGACCCCCAGATCTCTGAGCCAATGTCACTGCCCCCCACCCACCCGCGGAAACCCAGGACCAGGTCTCATATCAGGGCCATTTGACCAGCGGTTCCATCCACAACATCCCCTCCCCCAAACCACACACGTTCTGGGAGGGAAGGGGCCATGTTCTTGGACACCAGCGTCGACTCTTAGGTGTTCGGTTCTGCGCCAACCACGGATCAGACCAAACACAGGATCTGAGGAAGCTGAGACAGGGACTTCCCTGAAGGGAGACCAGGCCCTGGGGAAGGGGGGGGAACCCATGGACCCCCCTCTCCCCGCCAGCTGCTGACTGGCCGGGTGCCTGGCATGGTCCTCTGGGCCTCATTTTTGTAAACATGATAGATGTGTACCTCCGACACACACACACACACACACACACACACACACACACACACACACTCTACAGAAATCCAGTGTAGGAAAAAACTCATAATGGGAGAAAATTCACACGGGACACGGCTGGATTACAGTTCTGTTTCCACATAGCAAGAAGATGGCTGTGTCCTTTAAGGTGTGTGGCTGCGTCCCCACACTGGGCACCTTGGTGTGGGGGGACCTCGGTGGGTAAGGACCTCGTGGTGAGCCCTGGGAATAATGGGAGGGGGACATCGTGGGCCGCCATGGAGGCCCTCATGAGTTGGTAGAGGTACCCCCCAAATCAGACCATCCCGGCATCACCTGGGTGAACCCACATGGGTGGCAGGTGCCCCTGCTCTCGGCCGGCCCCCTGTTGCAGCTCTGACAGGGCCCCCCCTTCCCCTCCTGCTGCCCATTCCCCAGCTCTGGGATTCTGCCCTCCCCTCTCTCCAGGACCCTCCCTGACAGCTTACAAAACAGTTTACAAATATGCTCCCGTACTTCCTGTCTTCAAAACAAACAGAATCCCTCCCTTACCCCATGCGGCCTCCAGCTTCCCAGGCCCCTTCACTGCTCCCGTCACAGCAAGAACTTCTAGAAACTTCTCACATCTCATTTTCCTCCTATGCGTCTACCTTCTTGGCCTCCATCCCCACTGCTCCCCAAGACGGCCTTTGCCAGGGTCCCAGCCACCCCACGTTGCCAACTCTAATGGGCACGGCCCCAGTCTTAGCAGGCTTCCCAAAGCATCTGGGAGACTTGGGCTCTCCCCCATGCCTTCCCTCCTGAAACTCACCTCCTGGGACACCCAAATGCTCCTTCTCCCCTGCCTGCTCCTTCTCCCCTCCTTAGCCAGCCCCTCCTCCTTTGCCCTGCCTCTGAGGTTGGGGTGCTCATTTGCAGAGCCCTGCAATTTTCCCGGTACTCCAGACTTTTTCACTTCAACCTCCCCCCTTCTCCCACGGATGCCCCCATAGGCATCTGCAGCTTCACTTGGCCAAAACAGAGCTGCTGGTTTCCCCTCCAAGGTCTGACACCACTGGGGGTCCCCAACTTAATGAAGGACATGCCCAGCGAGCCAGCCACTCAAACCAGACACAGAGGGTTATGCATGGTTGCTCCCTGCCCTTCTGTGAGCAGACTCTTGTCATCTCAGCTTCCAGACACCTCCTGAATTCACCCACTTCCCAGGTAGTGTCCTGGCACGAGCCACCAATGCCTTGCACATGCCTGTATCCACTGTCCCCACGGCAACCCTCGATCTTTTTTAAAACCTAAACCAGCCCAACTCAGGAACCTCCAAAAAGGAGAGAAAAATACTTCAAAGCCAGCAGAAGGAAGGATGGAGCAGATAAGAGCAGAAATCAATGAAATTGAAAACAGAAAAACATTAGAGAAAAATGAATGAAACCAAAGCTAGTCCTCAGAAAAGACCCGTGAAACAACAAAGCTCTAGCAAGACTGACAAAGGGAAAAGAAGAAAAGGCATGAGTTATCAATATCAGGAATAAAACAGGTTAATAGGGCTACACACGTCAATTTCACAGCTGAGAGGAAATGGACCAGGTCATCGAAAAACACAAATCACTCCAACTCACTCGATCTGAAATAGATCATTTGACTTGCCCCATAACTATTAAGGAAATTGAATTTGTAGCTTAAAAACTCCTTCAAAAGAATTCTCCAGCCCCAGATGCTTCCACTGGAGAATTTTACCAAATGTTTAAGAGGAATTAATACCAGGGCGCCTGGGTGGCTCAGTGGGTTAAGCCTCTGCCTTCAGCTCAGGTCATGATCTCAGGGTCCTGGGATCGAGCCCCGCATCAGGCTCTCTGCTTGGCAGGGAGCCTGCTTCCCTCTCTCTCTGTGCCTGCCTCGCTGTCTACTTGTGATCTCTCTGTCAAATAAACAAATAAAATTTAAAAAAATATATTTTTCTGGGGGGAAGCAAGTTGCAGAACAAAAGAATATCATCTGGTTTTGTCTGAAAGTGTATATGTGTATATATATATATATATATATATATATATATATATATATATGCTCATACATAAATATGAGGAGAAAAGGGTCTGGAGTAACGCACTGGTAATATTAATAATGGGATTGTGTAGGAGCAATTGGGAGACAGGAGAATACTCATCTTCCACCTTATTCAGTTCTGTAATATCTGGGTTTGCTTTGGGCACTGAGTATATACCATTTTCTTCATAACAACAATGACAGCATTAACAGTGAAAGGCAGAGTGAGGGGCGCCTGGGTGGCTCGGTCGGGGAAGCATCTGCCTTTGGCTCAGGTCATGATGTCAAGGTCCTGGGATCAAGCCCTGCATCAGGCTCCTTGCTCAGCGGGGAGCCTGGTTCTCCCTCTGCCTGCCGCTCCCCCTGCTTGTGCTCGCTCTCTCTCTCTTGCTCTCTCTCTTTCTGACAAATAAATAAAATCTTAAATTTAAAAAAAAAAACAAAAAACAAAGAAAGAAAGGCAGAATGACACTCTCCCCCTAACTGGCGTGGCAGCCTGTGGCCCAGGACCAGAATCTCTGCCCCTTTCATGGGTCCCAGCAGTGCCTGCGAGCTGATTTTGGGCCTTCCCCACCCCTCAGTACCCTCACCCCACTTCTTGTCTATAGTGCTCTTCTGCTCATCAAATGCCCATGCTCTGTACACAAAAGGTGTTCCATAAATGCACACTCAGCTTTTGTTTCCGAGCATCAACCCCCTCCCCAGCAGCCTGTGGTGGGGTTGGATTCATCCAAGAGAACAGAAAGGAAGGGCAGAGCTGGCTCTCTCCACAGCCTTTACCTCACGAGGTTGGCACAGGGCCCGGGCCATCGGCAGCTCTGGTACACACGCTGGACCACTGTCTCCGAGCCATTCTGCACCTGGCAGGACACTGTCCGCGTCACCGTGTGATGGCACCAGTGCCTGTGGGGAAAGCAACAGTCACATCAGCCCTTCTATTCCTGAGATGCTGACTGCAGGTCAAAAGGCCATGCTGGCCAAGGAGGGGTCTCTCCATAAGGCCATGGGGTGGGGGTGCTCGTTCTTCTGGGGAAGGGGTCCACTGAGACCCTCAGTCCAGGAAAAAGGGGAAGGGAAAGCACCCGCACCCCGTGGCCACCAAGCCCTGGCATCCATCATTTCAGTCACCAAACACTTGGAATGAACCCCTGCCCATGGGGAAATCCCACTTTGACATGGAAGACTAAGAAGGAAGTGATCATAACCCACAGGAACACGAGGCCATCAATGCAACCAAAGGATGCACACAGGGAGCTATGGGACCAGTGGGGCACCTAACACAGGTCCCAAGAAAGACCAACCACCTGGGTATTGAAAGCTAAGAGTCAGCCTCCAGCAAGTGCAAACAACCGTGGCCCAAAGGCTGGGAGGAGGGGAGGAGCAAGGAGGAAGGGGAGGGGCCAGGAGGAAGGGGAGGAGCCAGGAGGAAGAAAGGAACATGGTACCCGCCAGGCTAGATGTGGGTCTCAGCATGAAGTCAGGGGGGAGCCCCTGAAGGGCTCTGACCAGTGGAATCTCTCTATGGGTCTGAATTTAGAAAAATCCCTCTGGTGCAGTGTGAGAGGTGCAGAAGCCTGAGCTGGGGCATGGGGGTGGGTGTTATATGGAAACAATATTGTGATTGGATCCAGATGGCAGGCAAGCCCATGCTCCCACCTCCCCCACGCATTCCCCACGTCCAGATCCTAGAAATTTAAATCTAAAAATAAATCCTTGTTGCAACATCAGCAAGATAGTGAGACAGGAGGCCCCCCACTCCTATCTCCCCTCAGTAACAATAATTTGGCAGCCATCCATGGATAAAAATGCCCTTGTGGGAGCTTTGGGATTTTTGCAAACCATACATCTTATAAGGGGTTAATATCAGAAACATACAAGGAACTCATAGAACTCAATAGCCAAAAACCAAATAATCTGATTTTAAAATGCCCAAAGGACCTGAATAGACATTTTTCTGAAGAAGACATACAGATGGCCAAAAGCTCAGCATCACTCACCACGAGGAAAACGCAGATCAAAATGAGAGATCACCTCACACTTCTTAGGATGGCCATTATCAAAAGGCCACAAGACAACAAATGTTGGCAGAAGTGTGGAGAAAAAGGAACTCCAGTACATTGTTGGTGGTGATGGACATTGGTACAGCCATTATGGTAGGTTCCTGAAGAAATTAAAGATGGAACTACTGTATGACCCAGGAATCTCATTTCTGGGTATATATCCAAAGGAATTAATATCAGTATCTAGAAGAGGTATCTGCATGCCCGTGCTCATTGCAGAAGTATTCACAACAGCCAAGACGGAAATAACCAAAGTGTCCATCCATGAATGAATGGGCAAAGAAAATGTAGAAAATACACACACACAATAGAATTTTATGCAGCCATTAAAAAGATGGGAATTCTACCATTTGCATCAACATGGATGAGGCTGGAGGACGTTACGCTAAATAAATAAGCCGGACATATTTGTATATGAAATCCAAAACCGTCCAGCTCATAGAACCAGAGAGTAGAACAGGGATTGCCAGGGAGTGTGAGAGACAGGGAGATGCTAGTCAAAGAATACAAAAGTCCAGTTATAAGATGAATAACTTCTGGGGTTCTAATATACAGATTCGATCTGTATGTATTATGTATTATATTATCTATGTATTACACACATAATCATGTGGTGATTAGAGTTAATAATTCCACATTGCATTCTTGAAATGTGCTAAGAGAGTAGATCTTAAGTGTTCTCACCACAAAACAAACAGTGGTAACTATGTGAAGTGATGAATGTTTTAATAATCTGTACTAATCATTTCACAATGTCCATATATAATAAGTCATCACATTGCATACCTTTGGGGGTAAAAAAGCGTATTGTACAACCTAAATATACACTTTTTCAGTTTGTCACTCTTAACTCAATAAAGCAGAAAATTTAAATAAAGAAACATAAAAGTCCCTAACAGCATTGGAAAACAGAGAAGCAGTGGGGGGCCAGAAAGTTTGAGGAATGCTCGTTAGATTGAAAATAGGTGAAACTGAGTTGAAAGAGGAGAGCCCAATGGGAAACATAGGGAAGATTCCAGATTGGCAGTAAATGTGGGTGCAAATCGGGAACAGCTGATGATGTGGCTGATGGGATAGGGGAGGGACCTAGAGGTGACTGTCAGAGGACCATAGTACAAGGACCCAGATCCCTACCCCTGCTGGTGTCAAGAATCAGGCATTAGACTCACCCGCCTGAGGCAGGTATGTTCGTAGAGGGTGCCCCAAAATCTGATGACCCCCAGGAGAAACTGAGACCCTCTCAAGTTTATACAACTGAATTCGGGTGCCTGGGTGGCTCAGCTGGTTAGCGACTGCCTTCAGCTCAGGTCATGATCCTAGAGTCCTGGGATCGAGTCCTACATCAGGCTCCCTGTTTGGCAGGGAATCTGTTTCTCCCTCTGACCCTCCCCCTTCTCATGCTCTCTCTCTCTCTCACTCTCTCTCTCAAATAAATAAATAAAATCTTTTTTTAAAAAAAGTTTATACAACTGAATTCTTTTTTTTTTTCTTTAAGATTTATTTACTTGAAAGAGAGAGAGGTAGAGCAGGAGGAGGGACAGAGGCAGAGGGATAGAGAGGCAGAGAAGCAGAACCCCTGCTGAGCATGGAGCCCAACCCAGGGCTCGATCCTAGGACCCTGAGATCCTGACCTGAGCCAAAATCAAGAATTGGAGGCTCAAGCAACCGAGCCACCCAGGCGCCCCTATACAACTAAATTCTTGCACACTCCTTCTCTACCCTTCACCTATACCAACCCTCCAAGAGACAAAGCAGCAATAAATAGTAAAGCAGAAATGAGCCGGTGGAAATCCCCAAATACCAAGAATTTCAAAGTATTCGAGAAAAGAAAAGGCCAGCACCATGAAAGAAAGGCACCAACTCAACAGACAATAAATCACACCTCAGGAAAAGACAATAAACCAAACCGATGAAGACAGTTTTTTTAAACATTACTGATGTCCTCAAAGAGATAAGACAGTCGTGCCTTTGTGGAAAAAAAATATTATGAAATGGAAAAAATGAGATCTCTTGGAAATGAAACATATGACTGTAAAAACCAAAAAGTGCAACAGATGGGCTGAAAAATCAGAATGGACAGCTAGAGTGACTGGATGAGCCTGAAATCTGAGCCATGAACTTTCCAAGGATGCACTGCAGGGGGAAAAGGAGGTGGGAAATGGGGGAGGGGGAGAAGGTGAGAGATCCAAAGGACAGACCATTTGCCAACATATGTCTATTAGTGGCTCTGGAATGGGGGATCGGAGAGAGCCAAGGGAATTACGTACTTGAAGAAAGTATAAAGAGAGTTGGAGAAAGACATGATTTCTTAATCCAAAAGAGCTAGAGTGCTAAGCCAGAAGAACACAAAGAGACATATCATGCTGAAATGTCAGAACCCCCAGGATGGAAACAACAATACCAAATGCTATAGAAAGAAGAGTGACACAGATTACCCATCATAAACTTAAATCAGCAATGCCAGATTCATCAAGAAACACAATGGTTTCAAATTTCCAAGGGGAAATATTGAGCACCCAGAACTCCACGCCCAGGCAAGCTCTCCTTCAAAGGCAAAGGCAAGAAAAAGACATTTTCAGATGCACAAGAACTCAGAAAGCTTGCAAGTCACCTTTTCTGAAAGAATCACTGCAGGATGTACTCCAGCAAAATAAATGAAGGATGCAGAAGGAACATATCAAATACAAGCAGCTGTTATGAGCAAAGAAAGAGTAATACGATTTAATAACAGCCTAGCTCTAAAATCCAAAGTGATCTCAGTATGGAAGAGAGCTGCAAGTGGGACAGAAGGAACCAGACGTTGCTGGGGATTTTGTCTTGTTTATGGAAAGGACACAGGTGCTTTGCGAATTCAGGTATAGTAGAAAAATACACGATTAAGATATACCTTTCAGTTCAAAGATAAATAGTAGCAAGGATAGAAAGAGGACACAAAACTGACAAACCATGAAAGAAAAAAAATGAAACAAAGAAAATCTGATTAACCCAACAAAATGCTAGAAAACCAAGAAGGTAGCAACAGAAAACACAGGAATTAGAAACCCTTGAAAGAGGAAGGAGAAGAAAAGAATAAGCAAAGATTTGAGCAGAAATGAGTGAAGTAGATTTACTTTAAAAAGTGAATCAACAAAACAGGTTTAAAAAAATCAAATAGACAAAGCTTATAACAATTCTTAATGAGAAACAAACAAAAGACACAAGAATTCCAGAGATTTAAAATTATATGTAAATATTATATGTGATCTTACATCAAAATTTTTCAAAATCTGGAAAATTTCTACACAAATCTCTATTACCAACATTTGCACAGTCAAAAAGGGCATAGAAGTAATCGAAAGTCCATCCCTCTCCCCAAAGGCACCAGGAGACCTAGTACAAAACCTGGGTCTGCCACCAACCTGCTATGTGACTTAAGCAAAGTGATGTCCCCTCTCTGAGCCTCAGTGAAATTAAAAAAAAAAAAAAATCCTACTTCTCAAAGTTATTTTGAGGGCTATGTGAGCAGATTTAGGTTAGTGGTGTATGAACCATACGGCACTCGCTACCTAAGCCAAGGAATCCCCAATTGGCTGCCTACCGGAACCCCACAGTGTCCATTAAAGCCTAGGGACTGACCTTCCCATCTTGGAGCTGGGAGGAGTAGTGGGCATTTAAACTTCACTGTCTGTAGCTCAGACTTGAGGCTGAGCTGGGAAGGGAATCCAGCCTTCCAGCCCACAGGACCAGCCCACATCCCCAGTACAAACCTCCTCTCCTGTGTCTGCAGATTGGTCTAGAAATTGTGCAAGATGGCGGGAGCCTAGGCCCCTCCTTCATCTCTACCGGGAAGCACTGGTGCCATCT